GGAGGTAGAAAACTGGAAACTGTGTCAAGGGTGACTAAGTCCTGCTCCTGGAGAAAGCCCCACATACAGTGAGAAAGCCCTCAATAACGTGAAGTCATACGAATGTGGCCTAATCTGCTAAGTCTGATATTCTCATAAGAAAAGGAAGATGTCGGGAACCAGCAGTTAGCGTAATGGCTATGTCGCTGGACTCCCATGTAGTCGACCACGGTTCGCGTCCCGGACCCGGTGGCTTAAAACTCACACCGGGCGCGTGTGTGTGCGTGCCCAAGATCCCAAGAGGAGAATGGAGAAGGGACTGTGGTGTGACCATCCCCCCTGGGGGGTGATTTCTCGCTTTCTGTCTCTCTCTGTCTGTCTGGCGAGCACACGCGCCCTATAGTGAAAATCTCTCAAAAGAAAAAAAAGAAAAGAAAGGTGTGATCAGCAGATGGCGAATGGTTGTATCACTGGCCTCCTAACTACTCGACCGTAGTTCGGTCCCCAGACCTGGTGGCTTAAGATTGTGTGGGTGCATGCACAAAATCCTGAGAGGAGAATGAAGAGATTGCAGTGTGGTCATCCCCTTGGGGGGGGGAGTAATTTCTCAATTTCTGTCTCTCTGGTGAACACACATGACTTACAGCACAATCTCTTTAAAAAAAAAAGAGACAGAGAAAGAGACTAGATCTCTCTCTGCACACAGAAGAAAGTTTAAGGTAAGAAACATCAATAGGTGCTAAAACTGATAAATACCCCATGAGGAACATGGTATGAAAGCATAGGGAAAAGGTGGCAACCTGCTAATCAGGAAAAAGTCTCACCAGAAAACACTACAGGAACCTTGAATTCTACTTCTAGCCTCCATTACTATGAGAAAATAAACATCTGTTGTTTAAACTACCCAGTCTGTAGTGCTTTGTGATGGCAGCTGTTCTATAAAAACATTTTGCTGTGGGCCAGCTGGTGACATGGTGGTTAAGGCACTGGATTGCCACAGGGTTGACTACGGTTCAAGTCCCAGAAAGGCAAACCAAACAGGTGTACATGTGTACCCAAAATCTCAAGAGGAGAGTGAATGACACACTCTATGGCAAAAACCTAAGAAGAAAAAAATTGCTGGTTATAGAATGCTACATTGAGGATATATTTCCATGGTCTTCTGCTTTCTGTTGTTCAAGATGTCAGTTCTTAGTTCAACTGTTATTCCTTTGAAAGAAATCTTTTTTTTACCTAATTCTGAAATCTTAATGAAATATTTAGATGGAAATGGATGTTTCATCAATTTTTGCTTGGCATTCATTGAGTTTTTTAAACTTAAAATTTATATCTTTCATCAGTTCTGGAATATTCTCAGACATTTCTCCTCATATGTAACTTCTGCTTCATTTTCTCTTCCCTATTCTTCTTGGATTCCAGTTACATCTAATACCTATTTCTTCTTTCCCATCCTTTTTTTTCTCTTGGGACTAAAACAATTTTTCAATTCTTGCTTCCAACTCATTATTTCTTCAACTAGATCTAGTCTGGTTTTTAATTGTCCATTATAATTGTCTTATTTCTCATTTTAGATGTTCCATTTGTTAAAAAATATGTTCATACACTTTATTAATATTTTAAAACCTCTCTTTTTAAATTGGGGTAGGTTAAGAATATTTATTTCATATATATATACTTTATAGTTGTTCCATTATCTCGAGTATTGGAGGTTTGATTCTGCTGACTTTTTTCCACTGTTCCCCACACGTGATGTCTTATCTCTGCTATATTTCATGATTTCTAAATGTGAGCAGTTCTTTTTCCTTGTAGTATAATCTGTGGACTTTTTTCCCAAGATCTAAGGAAATGTAGTTTTCCCCAGAAATCATGTGTATTTGATCCAATCAAACGCCTGGAGGGAACATGGTAGCACCACCTGAATTAACTTTAAACTAGCGGCTTTTTGAGCCACCCGCACGTGTCAGTTCAGGCAGAAAACCAGCCTGAGGACTGGCTTAGTGGACACTTAGGCCGTCCTTCTCCGTCTTTCTCCGTTTTCCGTACAGTAGTTTTCTTTGTGCTCCCTCATGTTTAGCCTGAGGGCATAGTCTTTTGAGACCCCAATTTATCCAGTCTCTCCTATTAGACTAAAACTTTGTATAAACACTTGGACTTTGCCATCTTTCCTTTACAAGGCTATAAATAGATAATGAAGGCATTAAACATATATTAATACATGTGATAAAGTTGCACAGGACTGCATACACATACACATCACATGATGAAACTGGAGAAATCTAAGATTGGTGAATTTGATCAATATTACTATCCTGGTTGTGATCCTGTACTGTCTTACAAGATGTAATCTTGGGAGAAACTGGAGAAAAGGTACAAGAGTTCTCTCTATTTATATCCGTCATAACTGTATAATTTACAACTAAACCAATGAAAAATAAGGCAGGTGAGGTTGGCAGGTGGTGTGGTTGGGGGCACTGGACTCCCACATAGCCAACTGTGGTTCAAGCCTCAGACCTGGTGGCTTGCTTTCTCACTTTCTCTCTCTCACTCTGTCTCTGCCTGGTCAAACCTAAAAAATAAAGTTAGAATAATTTTTTTAAAAGAAGGCATGCAAAGTATGATTTCACTGATATAAAATTATATATGTGTGTGAGGTGCACATACAGATGTTTGAAATTCACCAAAATATGAACAATGGTTTATCCTAGGTGGCCAGTCTTGGAGCAATTAATCCTCTCTGAGTCATTGTGAAGTTCAAGGT